TAAATTTTTGCTTTGTGCAATGTGCATGAAGTTAAAAGATTAAAACTAATAAAACAAGTTTTAAAAAGACAATTTTTCATTTGATTCAATTTTATATGATGGATTATGGAAGAAAAACGGAATTTGGTTGGTCTATTGCTTTATTACGTATTCAGGTTGTGTATCATGTTTTTAAAAAGTAACTAACTAATAATGTAACGAGTTACTTTTGAAAATAAGTAGTCAGTAAAGCAATGGGATTACTTTCTTGGAGAAGTAATCTGTAATTAGTAACTAAACACTATTTTCATGTGACTTAACCAACACTGTTCAGTACATAACAATGTCATTATAATTCAAGGGAGTTAGTTTATGTGAATCACTAATAAGACCAAGCTGGAAAATAAAATGCCAAACACTGTAGTTCCTCTGATGGCCACTGGAGGCAGGCTACAAAGGTGAGTCAAACAGACCCCCATGTTAAAATGCCCAACTTACCCAGCGACAGACTTAGGAAGCTTGTGTGAGATGTGTTTAGAAGCCCAGTTGATTCAGATTTTTTAAAAATATATTTTTAGTAACAAAGCCATTAACTTATGATGAGACTTTAAGATAGCGGCAGGAGTGACAGGTGGAAAGGCTGTTAGCTCGCTGGACGTCTATTAATTAGGCTCTGAAATGAATCTTTAGACATTGTTTGTGCTGCTGGTTCCTTCTGTATTTTTAATGGAATCATCTGACACATATGTTGCTTTGTGGTACAACCACCGCCACCCCAACCCCCCAAAACAAACAAGCAAACAAGTAAAAAAAAAACAAAACAATAAAGAGCAATAAAGTTTGCGCTTCTTCAAAAAAAACTCCTTTCCAGGTTTTCGGACTTATTCCTACAGCACTCTGTACGCAGATTTCCCTTTGAAACCACGGGAGTCATCACCTGCTGGCCCTTAGAAAGAAGTCAGGACTTTATTTAGTTGTTTCCATCTTTTATATACAGTCTATGATCAAAAATAAAACAGATTTTAAACACCGTGTTCTACAGTTTTGTAGAGGTTTAGCAATTCAACAAAATTATTAAGTATAGAATTTCCTTTGTAGGAAAATAGACACCAAATTAAAAGTATTAAAACCTGTGCTGAACTGATTTAAAAATAAGATATAAAATTATGCTGTTAATACTTGTGTGTTTACATGTGGGGTTTTTTTTAACTTATGGTAAATTGTATACACGGTAAACAAAGATGTCAGAACCTACAAGTCAGCTCTTTCTATCTTACACATATTTTGTCATTCATATTCCTCATTTATAAGATTTCCATTTGAGTATGACAACTAGGTGAATATTCCATGTAGAGACGTAGATGTCAGTCTAACCCTGAACAGATCTCTGGAGATGTCATAGATGCATTTCCAGTTATGAGAAGATTACTTCTTTATTTGCGTGTGTTTCATTATCTAAGCTGATCTCTCAGAGTTACCACACGTTTTGCTTTGTTGAAATTTCTGTACGATATTATATTGGTTTACTGTCTTCCCTGATTACACCCAATTTAGACAGGAACCTAATAATGCGTCCCCTCCTTTGTCTCAATGTATGGCTCATGTGCGCGACACAGCTGTGCTCTAACATGATTAGAAGCATGGCAGCGCTTCAGGGCAGTATATTCTCAGAAGCCGCAGTGCCTAATGTGGACAGTGTGTCCTGCATGGCTCACCATGGCCTGAGGATACAGTTCACTGTACTAATCCTGGGTAAAGGTCATTTCTGCAGTCGGGGATCACATTGTGCTCTGTGCCCCTTCATGCATACTTAATATAAGAGTTTTCTTTTGTTATTAATTACTTCCTGTTTCCTTTCAGTTAGAGGAAAACACAAATTTGTCAGCTTTGCCAGGACAGTCACGTCCACAAATTTTAACCCCAATTTCATTTATGATTTCACCTTCAGATAAGAAAAACCCAGCCGGACCAATGTTCGGGGTAGTCGGAGCTGAGCTGAGCACAAGCTGGAATTGCTTGGAGGGGGAGGCAGCACAAGGGCTTCGGCTAAGCCTCGTCTTCAGCCTCTGAAGATTTCTCCACATTGCCTTGAGCTTTAAAGCCTCTGTCGTGGATGAGAGGCCCGTGCTCCAATTCCAGGCGCTTAGCTCCGCTGACCTGCTATTTTGAAGTGTTCCAGGGCCTGAGCTTGAAAAGGAAATCAATAGATGCTTTTTATTTTCAGTGAGCATGGGTCCTCTTTATTGAGTCTCTCAAAAGCTTGCAAGTCTTAACAAACAACCAGTTTGTCTTATTAGTCTTATTTCCACTGACGAGCTCATAAAGCACATAGTAAGCGGAGGCCAGCAGCCTCAGCGGGGAGATATTAAGAGAGGCTGTTGAGGCATTTAAGACAAATCTGTATGCAATAGAGTAATGATTGCCCATGCACGTCAAGAATTTTAATTTGCCAGACAATCTAAATCTAAATTCAAGGCCCGTGGTGCTCGATGTGAAGCAAGACATCAAATGTGTCCCTGCAGCCACGGGGAGCTTATTGCTGAAGGTGTCGACAGCAGTTAGACATCTCTGGTCCTTCCTGCATATATTAGCTGACCCCCCTACCACCACCCCGCACCACTCTGCTTTCTGTGCTCCACTTCCCGTGTGTGTGTGTGTGTGTGTGTGTGTGTGTGTGTGTGTGTGTGTGTGTGTGTGTGTGTGTGTGTGTGTGTGTGTAAAGTGACCGATGCAACCATGATGTCAGTCACATGACGTCACCATTGCAAACCTGCCCTCAGCCATCTGATGTGACTTTGAAAGATCTCCTCGTGGTCTGAGTCAAATATTTGGTCATGAGTTTAGCTGCTCTTCATTAAATTTGACTTTAGTCTAAAAAAAACAAAACAACAACAACAAATATATAAATAAATAAGAAGTAACCTGCGTCTTTAATGCATTTAACTACAGAGTAATTAACTACTTCATGTATTTATGATGATTAGTGCAAAATCCAGCATCTGTGCAGACAGACTGCATGAAGCCAAAGCGAGTAAAAAAACAAAACATTTTTAAAAGCTCATAGAAGACAATTCAAGCCCCCAAACTTTCCACTAATTTGTCTCAACAGAAGAATAAATCTATTTTAGAAATCCTCATTTCCATCAAGGGAATGAATGAATACATTTTCCCCTGTAATTTATTCCACCTACATAAAGAAAATTTGTAAACAAATATGCAGTCATGTGGCTTTTTAAGGCGGTGTATGTACGCATGGATTGAAGCAGTCCGCTACAAGACTGCGAGATGCAAACACTGCCAGTCGTTGACATTTTGAATAACATCTGTGCAACTTTATATGGCTGGTCCTTTTTGTCAGGTCACTGAAAACTAAATAGAGCATTTCCTGTTACACCTGCAGAAATGAAAGCTCTTTTAAACTGTATCCGATGTTGGTGATATTATTATTTGAAAGTTAAAAAAAATGAAGAGAATCAAAACTGACTATTAAGACCTCCTTCTGCTGTAAACATGACTATCACTAGACATGAAGTTTTCATTTCTTTGCTGATAGAAGGGGTTCAAAAAGTCTAAAAGAAGCATTTTAGATCTAAGTTCTAAGGGGTTTGATTTCAGTAAAATGCCTTAAAATAATGAATTAAATGAAATTTCCCCGTCTTACATGGTAAGTATGCTGTACTTTTTGGGGCTCAGGCTATATTATGTTGTGGATTGATCTTTCTTCTTTACATCTTTCTTTAATATTTATTATGTTGAAGTGTATGACAGATGTTCTCATATTCAACTTTTATTTGATCATATTTTATTTGTGATCACGACTGTTATTATTTACTTACACAATCATTTGATCTCCTTTCCTTTAAAATAACTGATGTTATGCAATACTTAAAATGACTCATTGATTACCTAAAATTACTGACGCGTTACTTAAAAATGCTTTTAAACTGCTTGAATTGACTTACATTGTAATTATTTCTTTGTTTCCTGTATAGACCTGACTTGTTACCCTACGTTTAAGTATTTGTAGGTTAATATAATTATACTGTAAATTCATATAAATACTAAAACTGAGAGAAATTACACCCTCAGTCAAGAGGCCATATTATAAAGTGTTATAATACATAACTCTGGGAATAGGCAAAAAAGTGGACCAAATCACTTTGAGCTTTAGTGCTTTAGATCAATAATTGGCAAAAGAGCTTCTAGTGCATATTATTTAACACATTTTATAGTCATATTTCCAATGATGCAATGACTCAGGTCCTTTCTTATGTTTGCCACAACCTTTTTAAAAAAAAAAACATTGACAGACAGATGTTTTCATTGTGTCGTTGGGATCATGTCATATGTAAAACTTCTTAGCCTTTGAAGAAAACAAGTAGTGAAGTGAAGTAACAATTACAGCACACCCCTCTGTACTGTAGCTGAGGTAGCAGTGTAATATAAAGATAAAGTAATGGAGATAACACGATGTTACTTTTGTTAAAAAAACCAAACAAAAAAAAAAACAGGAGAGTACTGTACGGAAACACTCTGTTAAAAGTCCAAGTAATGCATTTCATTTTCCCAGGGTAATATTCAGTGTGTAAGGACCTCATTCTGGTAGAGCTGACACTAATTTAACTAAGTGAATTACTGCTCGGTGGCTTATTAACATGGATTATTTACCGATTAGATTCAGTTCAGATTTATCTATCATATACGTGGCGTCAAATCAGTACAACAGTGGCCTCGTGGTGCTTTGACCCTACTGTACCTGCTGTATTCGACATTTAGTGTAATACATCTGCAAAGTTAAAAGTAACGCTCCAGCAAATATTTATTTCGACCACTGAAAGTAATCACCTCTGAACTTTATTTAAGTACAATTACACACCACGTGACCTTCAGTGAGTTGCGCGCCTTAACTTCTTGATGCGTCTTAACGGCGCAGTGCAGCCTCGTGGTTCTCACTCGCATCACTAAGCGCTGTAAACATCGTTTGCATCGCTCAGTTTTCTTCTCTAATCTCGATATTACTCGTTCATCGGTCAGTAGAAAAGAGTTTTAATTTGAAGGCCACATCCTCTGTCTTCCGGTCTCATCCTTTCTAACTCTGACAGCTGGAGGCATCTGTCCGCGCGCACCCAGCCAGCCAGACAAGACGCGCACCCTCTCTCCGGTCATATCCGCTGCCCACGGGCTAGAAGACTCCAATTAGAAAAGCAGGAGCGAGTTACGCGCACTTACTGAACTTCACCTGTTTTGGTTTTTCTCTTCTTGGACCCCCACTCTGTCCTCTGTCACGATTCCTCCCCAGAGCCGCTCCTCGGGTTTTTTATCTTCCATTGGTCCCCGAACGGCGCGGAGGAAGTGGTCCGTGGTGTTTCTGGTGACCGCCGTCGCGATGGTTTTGTTAGTTCTCGCCATCGCTGTCCCATTACTGCTGATCCGCACCTCTAAAACCACCGCTCATTACTATGAGATGATGGGCACTTGTCGGATGGTTTGCGACCCGTACAGTCCCAAACCGGGAGGCGCCACGGCCATGGAGGTGATCCAGAACCTGAACGGGGCGGCTCCGCTGCCGCCGATGGCGCAAGGGAGCCGCGGGGAGCCAGGGCGACCGGGTAAACCTGGACCCAGGGGCCCACCGGGCGAACCGGGACCCCCTGGCCCCAGGGGCCCACCGGGAGAGCGCGGCGACGTAAAACTATCCTTCCCTGCGCTGACCGGAGGTGCGGGGGGTGACAACGGCGAGACAGAGGTAGCCAACGCCACTGCGAGCGGTTTCAGGATCGCTTTCTACGTCGGTCTGAAAAATCCGCACGAAGGATATGAGGTGTTAAAGTTTGACGACGTGATTACAAACTTGGGGAACCATTACGATCCGAGCACCGGGAAGTTCACCTGCCATGTGTCCGGGATCTATTTCTTCACTTATCATGTGCTGATGCGAGGAGGAGACGGGACGAGCATGTGGGCCGACCTGTGCAAGAACGGGCAGGTAGGAGGGTAGCTTCAGACGGGAAAAGCGGGAGCACTAACAGTTAATAAAGTAAATTCATAACTATTCAAGTTTATGTAGATATACATAAAATGGCTTTTTTCCTCGTGCCGAAATACATATTTTACGCACCAAAAGCGCACACGGAGGTAGAGGACTCCAAACGAATTGTGGAAGCAGATATATCTTTATTGTTTTTAGCATAACACCAGCGGTATTTCTAGTTCTCTATAAGCCTGTCTGTGCGCTCTGTTTGACGGTAGCGCTCATGCGTAAATCCAATTTAGATGAGACAGCTTCAGTTGGATGTGGGGTCAGACAGGAGGGTTGACATCATTAGTTCAGGGTTCAGTTCAGACTTAGGGCCAAATTTTGCTCTATTCTATTTTCCTCCACGTTTTTTTTAACCTGACGTCCCCTTAACCTCACACTTGGTAGCTAAAAGTTGGAATCTATCCATTTTACGCACCACTGCTGCTTCCCTTTGCCTCTCAGGTATATGTGAACTTTTCTGCTTAGTCCTATTTCAGTGTTCGTTACAGGAACTCTTTCTCTCTCTTTCTCTTTAACCAGGTTCGAGCCAGTGCCATAGCTCAGGATGCAGACCAGAACTATGACTACGCCAGCAACAGTGCTGTACTGCATTTGGACTCTGGAGATGAGATCTACGTCAAGCTCGACGGCGGCAAAGCTCATGGAGGAAATAATAACAAATACAGCACCTTCTCTGGCTTTATCTTATACCCAGACTAATCACGCTGCAGCACATCCTTGGACAGTCACTGAATATAGTTTACAGTAAAGAATATGATCAACTTGGTTTCTGTTCTTTTGAATAGGTGCAACATTAGTGGCTTTATCTGCAACTTGTTGTTCTGTTACTTCAGTCAAAGATCCTTTTTGTATATTTATTTGAACTTAAGTTCACCTGGAGGTTGCTGTCATTAGTGCGTGTGTGATACCTTAGTGTAAAGAAACAAATGCTCCAGATAATTTAGAGCATCCCTGGGAGAAAATATTACCTGAGCTCCTTTCTGAAATGCTATGGAGGCAACAGGTCTGAAGACGTAAAGCTAACAACTGGATGCTTACAGGCTGAGAGGGTCTTCTGAAGCCACATGTGTGTTAAAAGTATGCAGTATTTCGAAGACAATATGAAGAAATCAAGATGTAAACTGAAGGTCGGATAAGCAGTTTTCAGAGTATAAATTAGCCAGTAATGTTTGCCCTTGTGGCCTGTCAATAGCAGCAGTGAAAACATTCATGGCAAAATCAATCCATTCAGTGAGTTCTGACCTTTCAGGGAGCTGGAGGGGGAAAAGAAGGAAGCTGTTGTCGTTTTATTGTACTGTCCAGCTATATTTAACTTCCTCTAATAGATTATGAGCAAAACTCAAAAATCATAGTTTGTGGAAAGTTAAAGGGGATATCTCATGTTAATTTCCAGTTACATATTTTAGTCTTGCATTCAAGTAGAGTAGATTTGCATGAGTCACAGTTAAAACCAATTCTTATTTATCAAATATTGGGCCTTAATGCAGCCTCTCAGTTTATCCTCTGTTTGAAAAAAAATCACTTTACCTACTTTCCAACTCCCCTTAAGACACCTTTCTTCTGGTTTGTGTGCCTGTGATGGTCATATTAGGAACATCCTTTCTGTAGGATATCATACCAATCCAAGAATAGAGCAAACTGGCAGAAATAAAGCATTTAGAGTAATCTGAAGTCCAAAGTGTAAATTTTGGCTCACTTGAACAAGTTTAGCACACTTACAACAAAAAAGTTATTTTATTGACTGAGCTTTCCCGCTAGCTAGCTATAGCTATCAGTTAGCACTCTCAGAAGTTTATAAATATACTTTCCCTAAATTCATTAAAATTCTTTGTTGAATAAAATTATGCATAACCACAAAAGAATATTACGTCCATAAAAGGCAAAGGGCCCAGATGAAATATAAAGATTTTTTGACTGAGTTATGCTAACACATCCCTGGCTAGCTAGCATAACTGTAGCTAGCCCACCAGATAAAACAGTTTACCCATACTTGTGTCTGTGAAGGTTCTCAGTCATCCAGGTCATCGTAGTCAAAGGAGCTTGCAAAGAAAAGCGTCTGGACTTCTTTAAGTTGCTTGAAGACGTTTCACCTCTCATCCGAGAAGCTTCTTCAGTTCTAAGGTCAAATATCTGGGACTCTCCACCATTTGACCTTAGAACTGAAGAAGCTTCTCGGATGAGAGGTGAAACGTCTTCAAGCAACTTAAAGAAGTCCAGACGCTTTTCTTTGCAAGCTCCTTTGACTTTACCCATACTTCTGTTCATGTAGGTCTAAGGGCTTGTGAGTAGTTTCTACAAGTTTCTAAAGTGACAAAAACGGTTCCACCAAACCAGGTGCTTGGGATCATACACACTGTTATTTACTTCTGTCCTTATTTCTTTTCCCCCATTGCTAACAATCAAGCACATCACCACCAGTATGCATGGGTAATTGGAGCAGCAACTTAAAAGTAAGGTGTATATTTTTTTCATATCCATCTTTAAACAATAATAAGGCATCAATATCCATGACAAAACTTTTTTTTTCTTGGTGTATTAAACCATCGCGTTAACATTGGCTTTCAAATGTGGCTTTAGTGTAAATGATGGAGGAACTAAATACAAAGTGTAAAGCAAAATGTCATGTTCAGGAGTCGTATACCTGTTTGTGCTTTAATTTTCCATTCAAGAGTAGCACAGAAAGATGTTAAAGAGACAGACGAATGAAGTGTGGTACTAAAAGAGTGCAAATTTTGGAGGAGATGTTGCGATTGTGTGGCTATGGAATGCTGCCACGGATGTATCCAATAATGTTTAGCTGGGACAGGAGGAAATATTAAAGTAATTTCTTTATTCATATGAGCATTGTTTTAAGATAGTCTTGAAAAAAAATATTAATCCTTAAAATGGGACTGCAGTACATTTAACTCTTCAGTCAGTGGAAACTGCCAGAGCTTAAAGACATGGAAGACATTCACTGTGACAAGGAAATCTGTGGTGCTTTGAATAGTGTCCAGCGTCTTACAAAGTAACTAATCACCACACGTGAAAGATACACATGGATGTCTCACGTCATTACTGAATCTGTTCTGTTCTCCTCTCACTGACATCAATAAATACTGTTTGACAAAAAGTTTGGTTTGTCTGAGTATCTGTGACCGAGCGAATCCTGGTGAGGACAAGCACATTTCAAAATGCAGATGCAGAAGGGTGAGAGGAGAATGTAAATCTAAGGAAGAAGCAGATGGAATTTGTGTTGAGTTGTTTCACGGCAAACGTAGGTGGAACTGTCATCTGTCTCCTTTTGGCGTTTCCGGTTTAATTTTTCACCACAGCTCTGAAATATTTCTGCATACATTTTGTTTCACACTGGTCTCAAAAACCGTCGCCTGCCTGAATGCATTGCATTGCACTGTAGCCTATAAAGCAGCCTCTCTACAATGTGTCCCTCGGGTTCCAGGTGCCTCTCTAAATGTCCTTTGCTCTGCTGTGGCTTGGAGACATTTTTAGTCAGTGAGCTTGGACACAGGAAGTCTGCTCTCTGGCGTTTTCTACTGCAAACCACTGAAGCTGTAATTATCCAGAAAGGTTACAGTGAGTTCTTTGCATTTTACCACATTAGTCATATTTTGTTTTCTATTTTGGTGTGCTGAATTGATCAATAATTCTTATTTTCATATTCAGAATATATTTGAATAAATAATATCAGTCATGAACTTGGACACAGATATTGGTACTGGCATTTTTAAATTTGTTTTTGACATTTTCTTAACCATATATCGAAATTAGGATCATGGGTGTCTTTGACATTCACAGACTATATAATGACCAGATGACACGTACCCATGACATGTACCCTCGCTACATTTGAAAATATCTTTTTGCAGAAGAGATTTTCTCTGTATAATACTGAGCAAAAAACTATCACTTCTGTAGCTTACATGCTTTTATTTTGAAGGGCACAAAGCTGGTATTGTGGTAATAAAATACTACAGGAATGAGTCTTAAATCCCAGAAATTAGTTAGTATTTTGCATTTCTTGTTTCCTCTTCTCAATCTACTTTTAATATGTCAGTAAACTATGATGTATTTCAGACTACAAACATTGTTGGTGACATCATCGTGTCAAACCAGCTCAGCTTTAAGCTTTGAAAAAGTGGCAACCTTAGGGGCTGAAAAATGATGCCATGATGGAAGTGGCAATGTCTACAGCCTGGTACAAAGAAAAAAAGCAAATAAAATAAACGACAGTGGGGTTCCATCTAGGGCAACATGCTGAGCAGTCCTATGAAAATAGTGAAAACACACCAAACAGAAAGTGATCTTTTCACTTGCAAGTGAAAAGATCACTTTCTGTTTGGTGTGATAGGAGACATTTGATGGGATACAAAAGCGTCACTTTTGTATCCCATCAAATGTCTCCTATCGCCTGTTTGCATCCAACTTTTAAATTACTACCTTTTGGAATCACAAATGGCTGTTGTCTGGGGAAGAAGCTAGCTTTACTACAAGCCATTGAAATCTTTAGTTTTTGCCATTTTATTTGCCAATTCACATCACGGATAAACCTGATGGAAGACTGACAGGGGACAGGACAAGACAAGGTTCTATTTTCACACTTCATTGTTTTTCTATTTGATACTATATTTTTTTCTCAGCTCATTAATAAGCACTTTTGTGTTTGGTGTTTTGGTCAACATGTGGTTGTCACAGGTAACAATGCAGGAACTCCAGCAACACTTAAGGGAAGAGGAACAACTTTATTGACTGACCAACGGCTTCGGCTTGTGACCTTAATCAGGGTCATCGATGAAGGCCACAGGTTGTCACAGGTAAGTCACTACAAAAATATAATTTTACAGAATATGTTACATTACTGATTTAGCAGAATGTAAAATATTTGATAGCTCAGTCTTAAATACCTGCAGTAGCCATTTTAATCCATATAACATTGACTGAGAACATTTTTCACGGAGTTATCTTTTTAGTAGCGTTTTTGTGCGTGCGTGCAAACACGATCATTGGAAAAGTTTTGAATGGAACTAAAGTTTCTGATAAAACTTTGTCGGGGTGCAGAGGGAGGTCATGTTAAAAATACATTAAAATTTGGTTTATATCCACCAAGATCTTTAAGGTCAACTTAATGATTTATTGGCTGAAAATCGACAAAACACTTATAAATTAGAAATTATGACTCTTACAAGTGTGCTATATGTTGGCAGCATATAGAAAGTACCATATAAAGATTTAAAATGTCAAACCACATTTGACCTCTGACCTCGCTTTCAAGGTCAATAGAGTGATCTGAAGTTCAAAATTATATAGCTCTATGTAATGATATATAGAGCTCTTTATTAAAGTTATGTTTGTTACTGCCATTGTTTGGATTTTCAGCATATACATATAGCAAATTATATATGAGGATTCTAAATATCATTTTACTTTCTACCTCTGACCTCTTTAAGTTTAAATAAAATTTCTTTTTTCTTTAAAAGTATGCTTAAAATTCTACTGCCTTTGTTTGTATTTAGAAAGGACATATAGGAAATGATGCTGATATATGAGGACTGTAAATAACATGATACTTAAACTATGAGTTCACTTTTACATTTCACATCTGCCTTTCTTCCAACCCAAAATGTGTTATTTCTTTAAAGGAAGTATTATCAGAAGAAAGAGCTGCCAACATAATTTGAAAAATACTTAGTATAATATTATATAAGGTCAAGTTATTCATGGTCAGTTTACAAAAAACAGTTTTTTTTAATGTACATATAGTACACATGTAACATTCATTGAATTTTTTGGAATATTTGTTTACATTTTTCGTAACAAAGTTAGTTTGTAACATTTTTCGTAACAAACTAACAAACTAACAAAAATTGTTACAATGTAAATGTAACAAAAAAAATGTTACATTTTTTGTTATAATCTAACTTTGTACCAAAAATGTAAACAAATGTTACAAAAAATTAAATGAATGTTACATGTGTACTATATATACATAAAATAATAATAATAATAATAATAATAATAATAATAATAATAATAATAATAATAATAAAGATTAATACAAAATTTATTGAATTTATAATGATGTAAAGTGTATTAAAATCAGAAATGAACAAAATCACTAAATATGGATTCTGCTGAGTCCATCTTTTATATACAGTCTATGTTTAAAACTCAACCATAAGCTTCATAATCTTAACCCAAACTATTCAATTCATTTCAATTCAATTTTATTTATATAGCGCCAAATCACAACAAAAGTCGCCTCAAGGCGCTTCATAGATACAGAGACAAACCCAACAATCATATGACCCCCTATGAGCAAGCATTTTGGCGACAGTGGGAAGGAAAAACTCCCTTTTAACAGGAAGAAACCTCCGGCAGAACCAGGCTCAGGGAGGGGCGGCCATCTGCTGCGACCGGTTGGGGTGAGAGAAGGAAGACAGGATAAAAGACATGCTGTGGAAGAGAGACAGAGGTTAATAACAGATATGATTCAGTGCAGGGAGGTCTATTAATACATAGTGAGTGAGAAAGGTGACTGGAAAGGAAAAACTCAATGCATCATGGGAATCCCCCGGCAGCCTACGTCTATTGCAGCATAACTAAGGGAGGATTCAGGGTCACCTGGTCCAGCCCTAACTATATGCTTCCCCGAATGCTATCCCGAATCCAAACTGGAAGCTGGTTCCACAGAAGAGGGGCCTGAACACTGAAGGCTCTCCCTCCCATTCTATGTGTTTTAACTGTGAGTGGCAAAAATCACTGGACACTTCTCCTTTATTCAAATGCACACTGTTTCTCACTCAGAAGTGGAAAATGTTCACATAAAATAAATGTGGTTATTTTATGTACTGCCATAACACTCTGTTGGCTAAACATTTGAGATTAGTTGTGGCTTGGAACCACCGCTGATTCATAACCTAACATTAGTGTTTATTTCTTAAGCTTCAGATCTATATCTACATCTACACTGCTTTAATTTGTAGACATGATCTTTCTGAACAGAACATTTAAGCATCAG